CTCCAAGTTTACTTCCCGGAGTTAGGTCCAGCTAACGCCACATTCCGAGGTAACTCGCTTCTAGGAAAATCGATTGTTAGCCTTCCCTTGCTCAAGCACCATGTCTGCCAATTTGGAACGAAGTTCTAAGGAAGTTTGACATACCATGAAAAAGCAGCCCTTGTTTGGGTACTCAGGAATAGCCTTAATTTCAAGGCCTCATGATGTCTGATTTCTGCACATTAAGCCATGAATAGGCCAATATGCTCCATGGTTGACTGAAGTTCGTCTCCTGAAAACAATGCAAAACCCGGAACTTTGAATCCTTGTGAACCTCTTTTTGATCAAAATGCTCCGGATAGGGCCTCCGGTAAACTGATCTACCAATCCTCCTAGCATGAGGCACCATATCTTGGTAGTAGTGAATTATTCAAGTTCGCATTCCCACCAAGATTATTCCATCCACCGATTCCCGCAAATTGGTTTATATGAGGTCCAACGAAGTTGACTCCTGCCCCTAGTGGGCTTGTAGGCTGAATTGGTTATATGGCGGGAATCCTTGGAATTGGTTGACCTCCACATATGGGTTATTACCCATCAGCGGAACATTGACTGCTAGGGCTGGTTGCCCCCAGTTGGTGGATTCAATTGAGCATATTCGCCCCCAAGATGTTGGGTTGGACCTCCACTTGAGGCCCTGCCATTGGCACTCAATTCAGAGCCACCTGATTCCCATTTTGGCCATTTTGTTGGCCTAGCAATCGATCAAACCTCTCATTTATCTGAGCATTTTGGGTAGCTATGGTTTGAGCCATCTCTTGCATCCGTTGGTGGTTGGGTTGGTTTGATGTCTCCATTGCTCAGATGAGTTGTTGGATCTCCAACGAAGTGGCCAGGTTCAGCCTCAAGACTGGTCCTCCAACAACTTCCGTAACATCTTCGACCACCACATGGTTGGGGTCGACGGTCGTGGCTCAGCCAAGGCCATTTTGGCCTTGTTGATTGTGCGGAACATTTTGTGGTTCAGTGTTCATGGGAAGTGAACCAGCCATGCTTGTCTTTGATTCTAAACGAAGTCTAGACTCTTCAAACTCTTGATCTCTTTTAGGATTCTTCCTAGTGTTCATGACCACACAAAATCTAGTGGTCCCACCGGGTGTGCCAAATTATGTTTCCCTCTTTTCGGCCAAGGTGGCTGACGAAAGGAACTTTTGGTCCTTCTTCTCTTGGATTGCAGAGGCGTGCCACCACCATTGATTGGCTTCAATGGAAAAAGTTGGATTGTTGTGTTCGCACTTCTGACTTCTAACCAGCCACTTAATTGGCCAAGCAAGGAACCTCCTCTTGGCCTAGGTTCTTTCACTTCCTCGGGGTCAAGGATGGTTAGGTTTCGTATGGATATTTTAGTATTTTTTGGGATTTAATGATAATTATGCAAATTAAATTAAAAGACGATTAAACAATAAACGTAAATTTAAGTAAGAATGAAACAAGAACGATATGAACGATAAAGGCAATAAAATAAAGCAATCTGAAATTAAATTAAACTTAAAGAAAATTCTATAACAATTAAAAGTAAAGCAATAAACTTGAGTCATAAAACAACATAATGGAAAATGTAAGAAATTAAACTTACACTAACGAAATAGAAGAGCTGATCCAGTATACTTGCTTGGAAAATAAAAACCTAGTCTAGGGGTAGAAAAGTGAAAGACAAAAAGTAGGTTTTTGTGTCTGATGTCGGAAACCACGATGTTTCACCATATGTCAAGTCAAGTTCTCGGAGGTCCAAGCCCAATCCGTGGAAGTAAGCCCAAAACTTCATTATGTTTTCATGCACGTGACAAGATCTATCCAAGGAAAGTAATCAAATAAATTGATGTCAATTCGGAACATTCCTAAGGAGGAGAAAATCAAGTGATCAGATTTGCAATCCGATGATCTCATTCGAATCAATTCTGGTGATTTTGGAAGCCACACAAGGAAAGATTTTGAACAAAGTTGACCTTTGGCCGTTTTATGGCCAGCTCATGGGCTGACAAATGCCCTTATATATACCTTTCTAGATAATAATATTATTATTGTTTGGATTTAAGTCCCAACTTGGACTTGGGGTCTCGACTTGGGATTTAAGAGCACACCCAAACACGAACCTATATGACTTGTCACGTTTTTTTCTTTCCCAAAGCAATATTCTAAACTATTCTAATGTGACAGAAAGGGTATCGAACTCAGGTGCACCCGGCAAGTTTTACACCCCATATGTTGAGTTTAAATATTATTATATAGATAGTATAAGGCCATAAAGTTGGCCTTCGAACTTTCATAAGATCTTTAGGCCACTTCATTTGACTTGGAATTGAAGACCACACCTGTGACACCCAAACAATAATAATAATAATAATAATAATATATATATATATATGAATCTGGTCACTTTGCACTCTTGTCGGCAACAAAACAACAAAGGGCCATTATGGCCTTTTTCAATCATTTCACTATCCCTTTCCAGCCAAAGTCTATTTTATCTTTGAGACTAATTATTCTATCAAGCCTTCCAGGCTGCATCTCGACTGGAAGGGTTCCAAAGACATCACGAGACTAACCTTCGAGAGGTGTGTTACACCCGACTGGTAAATCATCTTTCTTGGCCTAATATTTATTATTTGCACATACTATCATCTTGGTCTTTTCACGGCAACAACATCAAGCCTTAAGCCTCATGCATTAGATTTTTATCATATATATATATATATATATATATATATATATGACGTGAATGTATTATGTTAATTTACCAAAAATATGCTAGGCCTTATATATATATATATATTATAACCCATTTTTATATTGGCTATTTTTAGCCACTTGGTGACATTGAAGCCTCACTCTTTGTTTATCATTTATTTTCTGCAGAGTGTTTTGGTCTTGACTTGGAGTGTAAATTCCGACTTGTACTTGGAGTCTAATCTTGGACTTGGGATTTAAGTCCCAACTTGGACTTGGGGTCTCGACTTGGATTTAAGAGCACACCCAAACACGAACCTATATGACTTGTCACGTTTTTTTCTTTCACAAAGCAATATTTTAAACTATTCTAATGTGACAGAAAGGGTATCGAACTCAGGTGCACCCGGCAAGTGCTACTTTAACCAAAAAATTTACAAACTCCTATTACTTTACACCTCATCCCCTCTTTCATTTTTAAATATCTGGTTGTAAAGAATGGCATGGCAAAGCAAAATAGAAACCAAGACAATGATAGGTAACTACCACTGCGAGAGTTTTAATGGAAAACTACAAATTAGTACTATACTATACTAAATTTTGACCCATACGGGCATCTGACATATTTTTATTTTTCACCAGAATTTTACAGCATTTAAAACCAAAAATAAATGGGGGGTTTTTTTTTATTTTTTTTATAAGGAAATAAATGGGGTTGTTCCCTCTGGAATCAACGTTATAAATTATAACCATATGCTGGTCTTCTCGTCCACATCAAATTTCATAAGCTTTATTTCCACACACTGAGATGGCAACTTGGAAATCGTTTGTCATAGCTATCTGTGTCATCGCTTCATTACTTTCGAGCACACATTCGGCTTTCGTCGCCCCTCGAAAACTCTTAGCCCCTACCTTTCCTCGTTTTGGTTTTTTTTTATTTTTTTTATAAGGAAATAAATGGGGTTGTTCCCTCTGGAATCAACGTTATAAATTATAACCATATGCTGGTCTTCTCGTCCACATCAAATCTCATAAGCTTTATTTCCACACACTGAGATGGCAACTTGGAAATCGTTTGTCATAGCTATCTTTGTCATCGCTTCATTACTTTCGAGCACACATTCGGCTTTCGTCGCCCCTCGAAAACTCTTAGCCCCTACCTTTCCTCGTTTTAAGCTGCCCAAGATCCCTAACCTGAAGTTTCCTCCTCTGCCCCCCACACCTCAATGGCCAGAATACAGGTTGCCTCCCCCTATTATTACTTCACCTCCAAATTTCCCATCAACTCCCACATTTCCGTTCTCTCCACCTTCAATAACCACTACCCCTTAATAAAAATGGCATATTACTATATGTCTAATGAATATCTCAGAAGTTCTCTATGCAAGCCATCAGTTGTTTATTAAATAATGGTTGTGCATCGATATTGTTGAAATAATAGATGTGCATTGATATTATTGAAAATGTATCGATAACATGTCAGTACGTTTTGTTGGCGACAATTATATCGGCATATTATCAGTGGCATATTGACGGTTTCCGTTCCGCAGCCGGACAGTAATATTTGTGGTACTACTATATCTATATGCAGTTAAATAAAGGTTCATAATCACATATGATATGAGCCTTTCATATGGTGTTGCATACCTAGATGCTAGATCTATTTTAGGGATTTCTGGAGAACTATATGGACCACTCGTGTGTTTACCAATATTGTTTTGTCCTATTATTTCTAGTATTGCTATGAGAGTAAGAATATTACTACTTTGTTCGTTCTTGTTGAATTGTTGGGATATAATTCCTACTAGCTTCTATTACTTATTATGCTCGTTTTATTAATGCTTTGGATTATTATGGTGGGCATGAGAGGGATGCTCATTATACTACCACAAAGAGAAAGGCATGCCTTGCAATTTGGATGCATCTGGTTTTCGATCAGCTGAACAAAGTTTGACATCTGTAAAACGTATGAAAGAAAAATCCCTTATTAATAGTCTCATGTTCAAAACCCTCCCTAAATATTAAGCTTAACCAAAGAATAACCACCAGCGATTTTTTTTTTTTAAATGTATTAACCAACGAATACTTTGCATTACTTTTGTTAGGGCAAATTAATTAATATTTCTAAGACAAACATATTTTATGAACTTGTTATTTATGGCAAGTGATTTTGTAGAAGCTCTGGTTCTCAGATTACTCAATGAGAATTGTCACCTGACACACTATATGAGTGAATGAAAATATCAAAACCACCGTAAACACAAGTTAATCTACTAAAACCATTATCTTTCGCATTGATGAAAATAAAATGCTACTAAAGGCAAAAAGATGAATCTTGGAGTTGAACTCAATAGTATCAACAGTAACCTTGTAAACCAACATTACAACCGAAGATCCTACCATTCCTCACCAAGTGACCTACCAAAAATGTTTATGTGCGGAGGAAAAATCTATTTACATTTTCTTATAAAACGTGCCAAATACAGGAAGAAGGAAAGGCGACGTCTCTTCTTTCACCTCCCTTCATCTCTTTCTCTTTCCACCAGCCCCTGAACCTCGGCCGCCTTTTTTCTCAGCTGCGGCAGATGAACCACCTCTACCCCTGCCCGTTGGTGTCTTCTTTGCACTTGAATTTGTTGCACCCTTCAAGTCGAATTGTACATGCACTCCTACATAGTATAAGGCACGCGTAAATCATGCATTCAGAAATAAAGTGCACCTAAACGACATGAATATGGGCATGTGTGAGTCCATGTGGCTACCAACTACCTTTTGTATTCAAACTTTTAAGTTCCTGTTGCAGCTTCTCACCAGCCGCAGAACCTTCTGACAAGTCGAAAAGAACAATCACTAAGTGAACACCAATGTCAACCAGAATAGTTAAAGAGTCTAGAAGTATTCTAGTTTGCAAAGTTTTTTCTTCCCATTACAATCCTATCATAATCAAATTCATCGCCAAGTTTCTGTTGGCCATATCATAAGAAAATTGCAATAATTTTAAAGCAAACCAGTTTTACTGGTGTCAGGTTTCTTGAACAAAAACAAAGACCAAAATGCAGCATCATTTCAACATTTCCAAACGCGTTCCCAGCATTTCCTTTTCTTTTTACAATTTTCAGAATCAGAACGAAGTTCCCAGACAGTATGGAACATTCCCTCCATTTATTTTAGGGAGTGCAGCATGTTACCATATGCCATCTTTATTTCGCATAATAATAATTATACAGCTTACTGTTCCTGAAAAAGCTTACTGTTCCTGAAAGGCGCCACCTTTTCACAAACTGCATTATTCAGAGCAAGATTGCCATTTGTGAAAAATTTCCTAAAACTAAAGCAGTCCCATCAAAATGCACTATCTGCAATTCTCTAACAAAACAGCAAAAATCTGATGACAGAGAAAAACATATAAGAAAACAGCAACAATATGATTACAGACAAAAACTTACCCAAGTCCTCTGTATCTGACGAATTTTCCTCTTCACTCTCAACCAAAGTATCATCATTGTTCTCTCCAATTACATCAACAGATGGTTCTAAAATAGCAGCAATCCGCTTCTTAGGAGCCTTCTTCATTCCAGGGAAAGTGACAAAATCTGCAGCTCGTACCATCCTTGTTTTGCTGCCTTCTTTGTAAGCTTTTGTCAGCGCTGCCTTTACAGCTGGTTGAATGCCATCTAGAGGATTTGGGTGCCCCTGATACGTAAGGTGTCGATGAGAAAACATGAACAACTTTAGAACAGTAGCAACAACAAAGCTGCACCAAGTTAGGTGGGGTTACCTGAAATTTGGATAACTCCACAATAGTATCAAAGTCATCCTGACTAATGGAGTAAGTATTCATGAAATCCACAACTTTGTGTACAGCTTCATCCTGGTAATTTTTTAAAACACAGAAGATGGATTTACAACTGACCTTCAACCCAACTATTTTACATCTTTTTTTATTGATATAAAGATTCATACGCAACCAAAAATTGATTGTTTCCAACCTTTGGAAGTTCACGGAGTGGCACGGTCAATCGTTTCAGAAGAAGAGAAAGGTATTCAACTCGCAGGGTTTCCCTGAATAATTTACAGCATGAGAAACTTAGATGCTTTCAAGGGAGGCAAAATAGGACAATTTTTTTGAAAAGATAATGAAAGAGACGCAAGAAGTAGTGAACAAGGAGTCCATCAAAAACAAAGAACTGATACAAGTGAAAACAACGAAACCTACAACAAACACATTATGCTATGGATACTCCTCAATTTAGCAAATTAAGAAGAGAAATTAAGATCCCTGAATTTGGATGTAACTGAAGCCCAAAGGGACAACAAAATCCTCACCCTCTCCCACAGCGCTTCTACCCCCATCCCTCATTTATTGTCAAAAACCCTCAAGATAGCCCTCCTGCAACAACCCCATAACACTCTAGCCTTCTTTCCTCCACCGAAAGCAGCAAGACTTTCACTAAGCAATGAATGGCACCCTTGTGGAATTACCCAACTCACTCCAGCCTCCTTGAATAGTCACCACAAGTTTAAAGCTACAGGACAATGGACAAACACAAAATCTGCATCTTCCTTTCATTTTACACCAACTTGGAGAAAGGCAGCAATTAGGTCTCTTATTCTGAAGCAAGCCACATGTACTCACCCTCTTGTGAAGCACAAGCCAACCCAAAACCTTTGCTTCCCTTATCACCTCAGCTGGAGCAAAAACTGACTGATCAGATCCATCAATTAAATTTCTAAAAACAGATTTTCAAGAGAACTATCCTGAAGATTGCAACTCCCAGTGAAGCACAAGCCAACCCAAAACCTTTGCTTCCCTTATCACCTCAGCTGGAGCAAAAACTGACTGATCAGATCCATCAATTAAATTTCTAAAAACAGATTTTCAAGAGAACTATCCTGAAGATTGCAACTCCCAACGCCTCATACCATCTCTCCCTCCAGACAAACGAACTCTTTCCAATAGCACCAGCAAAGAAATGAAGCAGACTATGATGAGATTAAAATTGCCTTTGCAGTAAAGAGAACAGAACACAAAAAGACTAGAACAGAGGATACTAGCTTTTAGACTCTATCTAGTTAGTCAAACAGAGGATACCCCAAGAAAAACATTTTGCCTCGCATATCTGAACCTTATGATCAAAGAATCTATGAAGCTAAGTAAATCAACATCCTAAGAACACCATTGAGTGAACATAGTTTTTGTGCTTCCACCCTATTGCTTTGAAATGAACACATATTTACTAATAAAAACCTTATATAAACTACATGATAAACATTTACTAATCCAATATATTATATCAAAAGTAATCCAGTAATTGCACATGGAAATTTCTAAAATTTTCAAGCCAAAAGGCAAGGAACAGTAGGACAAAAAACAGAAGGGAAATTTTAAGATAATCATTAGGCTCCAAAATAAATATAAAAAAGTTAAGTTTCTTTCCTGGGAGACATTGGTAATTTGAAGACAAGAAAATAAAATTTTACAAAAGGGCCTAAGGTTCTAAGGAGACATTTACCCTCAAAAACATCATTGGTTGTAAATTAATTTCAGTCTTATACAAGCCAACAACGTTTATATGTTGGCATAAGCCATTGCAAAACTCAAAGACAAATGCATTAGGTTAGTGACCAGAAGTTCAAACGTAGAACAGAGACTACCTCCCCGAACTAGATTCACGAGAAGCGAGAAGATGGACATGCAAATCTTCCAAGAGCCTCAAATTTTTTCCAAGTGTTGAGTTCTTTCCCAGCCACCCTCCAAATCTATTAAAATTCCTTTCTCCCTGCAAAAGAAGGCCAACTTGTGACAATAAGCATACACCTCAATGCATATATAACATGTACATTTCACAACATTTGGAAGGTATAAAACCCAAAAACTGAATTTTCCAAGTACCATGAATGTATAAGTCCTCTTTAATAGGAATCAAACCCAACTCTATAAACTGAAGAAAAGGGACAATTCAGTTCAACCAGTGATCCAATGAGAACAAAGAGGAATTTATGATTATAAAGAAAAACCAGTTATATTGTCAGGCATTTGAAAGATTTTCAAAAATTTCAAGAGAAATTACAATAGCATAACCATGTGAAAATCTACTGAAAGTAAAGGTTCATTCATTTACTAAAGTGAAAAACACAAAATTAAAGAGAGTTATTACAAGAAGTGAGACTAGCTGGAAGAGGGACCAACTAGACAGTTTCTATGTCAACCCAACCTGCTAGTCCTATAACAGAGCAGGGGTCAAATAACCTTGCATTTTGCTTTCCTCGAGAGTTATGTTCCTCAGTTATATTTTTTGGTGTGGCATGGGTCAGACTCCCTTGACTGCATGCAATGACCCAAGCTGGCATGAGCCTATTCTCATAAGGTTAACCAAGCTGTTCTTATAGCAGCTCCTAAGTGATTGATTAATGCTACACTTAGGGATTGGAAATGGGAGCAAATTTCTTGAGCTAACCCTGTGGAATTAATCTTTTGTTTTTCTAATCCTTTAATTAATTGTTTGATTGAATAGTCACCATAAAGAGAGGCTGTAATCTCTAGTACATTACTTTGTTAAACGCAGCTCCTCAGCACATTTTTCAAAAAATTTCCTCGTTAAACTTTCAAGAAATAAGTTCTGCTCCACCATAAAACACCCTACCATCCTCCTAATTTCATAAACAACGATCAGCCCACTAAAGACGAAACTAGCACAGGTTTCACTCTCAAAGAAACCAGCAGAACTTTTTAACAAAAGTCTACACTAGCATAAGTCAATCACATAATATCCCAAATATGGCGTATACCTCTGTGGCATAACATAAAAAAAGGAAAAAGAAAATCAATGGGGACAATAAATGTGAATCGCTAGAGCACACAGAATCAATACATTTTCCAAGGCCACAGAGAGCATCAGTTACACTTTAGGAATTTATAAGCTTGCATGTAATAGAAATTCATTACCTGCTCAAGTGTCTCTCTTTGCCCACGCAACAATGCAGCACTGATTATAACAAAAAATGAGTATAAAAATGATACCACGAACTAGAAATTATGAATACACTCATAAAGATATTATTTCGACTTCCATAGCTGATGTTAAGAAACATACGGAAAAATAGAGGATGAAAGACAAGCACTTTGGGAAAGCTGCCATTGCCGATATTTTCTAATCTGTACATTGAAAATATCCCCATTGCCAATAGACTCAGCGGCACGGGCAATCAAGTTCATACGTTTTATCCCACTATCATCCTTGACTGCCGAACTTGGCCTATAGTTGATATAATTTTCCTGCCAGAAATTGCATAATAAGCTTAATATATGAGAATATTTAAACATTTCACTACAAATATCATCATTTGGAAAAAGAATAAGGTTAAAATTTGAAAGCATAAGTGTCCATGTTTGAATAAATGTAAGTTTACATTTAAGTCCATGAAGAATGAAAGTGATCAAAAGAAAATGAAGTAAAATAAAATATCTAGTCATTCGTATGGGTACTAGCCGCACTAAGATCTTAAGTCAAATAGCACATATTTAAAAACTGGAGGAGAGTGTGGTGAGTAAGAACACACTAAGCTTCCTTCCAACTCTTTCTTGATTTGAATATTGATATATATATATATATATTATATCTAGAAAGGGGGAGAGAGAGAGAGAGAGAAAGAGACTGATAGCTTAGAATATACATTTTTTATCCTTTCTTCCTACTTCATTGTTATCATACCAAATTACAAGAATATTCCAGATTAATCTCATGATACAAATGTTGCTCTTTCTTTTTCGGCCAGAGTCATGATACAAATGTTAAAACAGTTCTTCATATCGATGCAAGTTCGAGTTCTCACATAGTATTAGAAATTTGTCTGAAGAGCTGTAATGATAGCCAGAACAGTTCAGTATGTGAGCATTGGAATCATTTGTTAAGGTGTATACCACCCATCACCTGTTCGCTTTAGTAAATTTCTTTTACTTGTGAAAAAAAATATTGTTCACGAGTTCTGATTAGTGAAATAACACATCAAAGGAAACGCTGAAAAAGTTTCTTGTAGGAATATGCTCCTACTAAGGTGAGTGTCCCTTAAAAATTCTACTCGCATTTATATCATTTTCAACTGAAAAGCATTCCAAGATAATGCTTCGTGCAGTCATATGTTTATAATTAACCAGCACTCCTGATGTTATTGTTATTACAAATGTATATGATAATTATTAGTTTAACCAGAGACATGAAGCAGAAACTGCTGAATAGGTTATCATCCATGCAGCCTGTTAACACTAAGCACTGCAAGTCTTTTCTTCTGGCAGTAGTATTCGATAGTGAAACTCAACAGATTAAAATATCTCACTGTTTGTTATATCATTTTTTATTCAGAATATGCCAGCCAAAAACAACTGCGCTAGCAAAGAACGCACCTGGATAAGAAGAGGGACTAGATCAGGATCACTCATGCTCAGGTCAACACGCTCATCCATCCGCAACTTTCCTGCATTAAAACCAAACAGCCTGCAGGACGAAAAGACAAGTCAGCATCACACACATGTTAATGGATGCATACTAGAATGTAAGCATTCAACCCAAAACCAATTGGGAAAGGATGGAGAGGCCCAAGATATTTTAAGCTCTTAAGCTAGGCTTCCATCCTTGGATGTGGGATACTCTCAACACTCCTGAAGGCCAAATAGAGCCTTCACTGACTGGAAAAAGTACCCGTAACAAGATTCTGAGAAGTTAAATTTAACATGAGGGAAACAAGACGCTTTTGGGGAAGGAAAGAAGGCAAAGACTTCATCAGATTGTGGTGTAATGCCTGTATTTTGGGTGGTACAGTTAGAGAGAAACAAAAGGATCTTTAAAAGTTATAGAGGGGAGGCAACAGAGGTTTTATGGGATACTGTAAGGTTTTGGGCATCGTGAAAGTGGAGGTTTTATGGAACAAGTTATGGTTTTGGGCATCATTATCAGCTCCAGTTTCTTCTGTATTCAGGGAAATACCGCCTTTGGAATTTTTGCCGATTGGAAGGCTGTACTTATTTAAGCTTATGCAATGAATTTTAATGTATTCCTGTTGTACGGTAGATGGTGCGTTGCGGTATTACGTTGTATGTTTTCCATTAAGATTCCGATAAAACTTCATTTCTCAACATCTAAAAAGAATTTAGCTCAGACCTTAAGTTTTTCTGATTCATGGATGGTGGGTTAGTTTCTTAATTTCTACATTTTCTCAGTGGATAGCTTTTCCACTGCATCTTTGTGCTGTTCCAAAGTTTATCAATAAAATTCTGTTTTTTATTAAAAACAAAAACAAAGCATATAATTGAGAGCAAAGAAGTGAATCTTAAAGTCATGGTTGAAACAGCAACCTTAAATATTAAAGAATTTTGATGCATAAATCAATCAAGAAACAAAGTACAGCAAATAGAAATGAATAAGAGAAGACAAGCATATCAATAGACAGCAAGATGCAGAAAACCAGAGCCAAAGATGAAAATATTGCTGCCATACTTGTCAACAGCTGTGAATGGTGAAATATCTTCATCCTTTGCACTGCTTAATAAGCGCTGCCTTACATCATCGTATTTAATGACAGACATTGATAGGCTCATATACTGCAACTGGTTAACTGCCATTCGCATGTCTCCATTAACTTTTTCTGCGAGTTCCTCAAGAGCAATCTGAGAAAATGACAAGAAGATTAATCAACATGGGGATACAAAAGAACCTTTAAATACATGTCAGAAACCAGATAAGCCAGATACTTGATCACATGTAAAACCATAGTACAAAATACAACTACGAAGGTTAGCACTTAACACAAAAAGAACAAGTACCTAAACTGAACTAGGTCCTAGCAAAGGGGGTAAAAGAAAATTAAATTATATAATTCTACAATATAGTCCATTTTGCTTAACAATAGAATTTGTCTCACGCTTGATATTTCCAGAAATAATAATTTACAATATTTGGTGGAGTCCAAAGCTTCTGTAGCAATATAGTACATGATAACTCCAAACAGTTTGACTTTCATCACAATATTTACCTCATTAACTTTAAGTCCTTCAGCATTTGCAATTTGCATCAACCTCTTTGCCATCTACCACCATGAACACAATATAAGGTGTTAGTAACTGCTTCCTGGCAGCAACGTCATTCAAACCTTATTCAAAGGTAAGCCAAATTTAAGAGTCAAAAAGCATTAAATGTCATTTCTAACTGTATTACAAATGCACAAAAATAAAATTTCCCATCCAAGCCCACACACATGAAGAAAAAAAAGCACTTCTATTTGCAATCACCAATGCAGATTTTCATAACTACATCAGTTCACATGCATGCACAACGGGCCATGGAAGCATATCTCTGTATTTTATATACAGGAACGAAAAGGTTTTCCCTCCATTAAATTGGCTAAACATCACACTACATGAGATTTTCCTCAAAAACATAAAGTCAAAAGTGAGTGTTTGAGTGCTGCCCATTTATCGCTGCCAGAGATATTTACATCCTAACTTACAGAAAAATAATGCCAAACTTGTTTCCCTGTCCAAAAGAAATAAAATCCAATAACAAATCAATTGGTTCTTTCTTATGGACCAAATCAAGCCTTCACATTTTAATGCTTTTCTCTAACTGCTTAAAAAAAATTACAATTCAAAGGATCTTAGTAAAAACAATGATGCTATTAAAAAATCAATTAATCATAAGGACTCATTGAGTATGAGAACTACAGACTTATGGTTGCAAATTAGAAGATAACATAGTTCAAGTTCAGGTACTACAACCCGAAGCTGGAAAGGATAAGAGCTGAGGGTTTGAGGAAAAACATGCCAGCGTGTTGTTAGACAACAGATATTGCTATACCCAAAACCAAACGAAACAAACAAGTCTGTAGCATAACCAAAATGTTTTTTGTCAACCTTGGTAAATTTGTTTGACTTCAATGTTTAGTATTCACTACCAAAATGCCAATGAATGGAACAAAGACACTTTTATTGTCGAAAATTAATCTTTCAGTTCTAGGTCGACAAAAATAACCTATTAAACCACTTGTTTAATGATCAAAAAATATCTCTCGTACCGAAGAATTTTTTGTGGCACTCAACATCATAAAGCAACAAAAACTATAACGTTACAGATATAGGAGCACGTTGTGGAATTCTTTAAAATACATTAGTCACTGGCTTAATTAACAAAAAAGTTTCTTATGCATCACAACCAGCATAAACAATTTAATTTTCATCACATCTGTCAGTTTGTGTGTCCGAGTGCACACACACATATGTCGCAATGCGCACTTTGCATCAATATAGCAAGCCAAACTAAAAAATTAAAAAAATCATTCAATGACAGCGCTCCAAACTTTTTAAACATTGCCAACCTTAATAAGAACCAATTAGTAGCATGATTTGGCAACTTGCAAGTAATTACTAGAAATAAAGCACTCAAGTAACATATAAGAACAAATTCTTTAAAATACTAAAATATATCAAAATACCAAAAATTTACTGTTAGGGAGGCAGGGGGACCTGTTGTTTAGTAGGTTTCCGAAAGCTGAGAAGTAAACAGTAGTTCACAAGACTTTTCAGTTTCTGACTGTAACGATCATTACAAATGCAGATAACAGGAATTTTAGAAATCTTTATGCTAGCAATAAGATCAGCAACTCCTCCCCGATCTCCAGCAGACATCCCATCAACCTCATCCATAATTAGCACAGTTTTGGGATGCTTCAATCTGCAAATTTAATTAAGAATTAACTAGAGAAAATAAATTCCTTCAGGCAAGTCCTATCCATAAATGACCCCAAAAAATATACATTATATAGAGAGAGTGTGTAAAACCAACCCATCCATGCTCAGGGCCTTGTTGCTGACAAGCTCTTTAATAGAATTTGCGTTGCTTCCACCAATTCCCTTTTCAATCTTGGAATCAGCTTTCCCACGACTGTCACTAGCATTTACCTAAACAATATGCAGGCATTTGCATTGAATAACATAACTCAGCAATATTCAAATTATTCCATAGTTATGCAAATTTGGTAAAAGTATGACACCTCAATTGTCTGGAAACCAAGCATCTGACTGACTAACTTAGCGGACGTCGTTTTCCCTATACCAGGCGTTCCACTTAATAGTACAGCCTTTTTGGCACCAGAATTGGTTGGGTTTTTGCCTTTTTTCTTATTTCCAGTATCAAGAAATTGCTCATGCCAATGTGCCAACCAATCATGAAGCTGCTTTACCTGCATATTAGACATTACATAAATTTTATCAGAATAACAAACTTACAATGGCTTCCAGATAGATGCATGTGCAGACAACGATTCAACAGCAGATGCAATGGTGGTAAAGCAATAATTAACAGGCATACCAGTGACTGATTCCCGATAATGTCATTTGGAACCTTTGGCCTATACTTTTCTGTCCAAGTAGAGGCGGAATGCTCGGTAGTTTGCTTCTTACGCCTAGCATGGGAAGCATCTGACTCCAATTGTTTGTGGGATACACTTGATGCCAAGGAGCTTCCAGCACAATCTTCTGGAACAGTACATGTCTATTTTATAAGAAAACTTCAATAATCATGCAACTACTTTTTATTCTTCAAATAAGATGCAACTACTATATTAGCCTGCTAGGAAAAGCATCCAAACTCCATATAAGAAGAAAGTTTGCTTGTGCCCTCCAGGGCATAGGCTCCATCAATGCAAAATACTATACACATGATACAAGATGGGCAGACAGAGAGAGAGATACACACTTTTGAAGGTAGAGAAATATGCGAAGGGGTTAAGAAGAAGAAGGCGAATCATCACAAAGTTGACTTTGATCATTTAGTTAAAAGATAACAACGTGCAACATTTTTTTTGACAAAAAATTCTAAGTATTATTCCTTCAAAAGTAAAATTGAGAGTAAAAAAATTTTGGATTTATGGCTACACTTAAAAATAAAAAGATGAAGGAGAATATAAGACAATCGTATTGATACCATCTGAGAGCAGATAATCAAAGTTCCTTCAAATCACCCAAACCAAACTACAAGACAACTTGTTTGCTCCAGATTTGTGAAGGGAAGGGGCAGTGCAAAAACATATGATGATTATTTGCCTGCAGAACTGTACAGTACCCAATGCTACATTAATATCTTCGAAATCTCATTTCAATTTTTCCTCTGTTTGGATGGAGGAAAATTACTCGGGATTTAGCTAAAATTCGGGAATTGAAGAGGAGAAATTGATATTTTCATTGTTTGGCAACTTAAGCACGGAACTTATTAAATGACGCGCAGAAAAAGTCATGGAAATTGGGTATCAAGATTCCTGAATTTAATTTCTGCCAAAAGAGGCGTCATTTCGCAATTTCTACTGAACAGGTTTTCGTTTCCCCTATAATTTCTGTCATTTACAAAATTCGACATACATAAATCCAAACACTGAAATTATCAATTGCCAGAAATTTAAACGATGGAGATCTAAATTCCGTCATTTAAGAATTCTGTGCAATTTTCAATTCATTCATCCAAACGGAGGGTAAGGTACTTTCTTCATTGTCTTTGGGCAGATTGCCTCAAGGACGTTATTGCTTAGTAAAGCAAAAGTTTTGAATTATCTATAAATGTTTTTATGTATCTAGCTGTGTGACAATATGCATAAACACTACACTGCATAACAACACATAATTGGACACAACGAGAGAGAGAGAGAGAGAGAGAGAGAGCAAGTAAACATATACATAATTCAAGTGCCTATATGAATAAAGAGGACAATGTAAAAGCACAGTAAATCCACAAAATGAAAAGCAAGAATGCCCACACGCAACAAACTATGTGATATGCAATTAAGCATGGCCCACACACATAAACCCAGTCAAACCAAAAACTAAATTATGAATCTGCTGATAGACCAAAACTACTTAGTTAACTGCAACATACTCTTTGATGCTACTTTATTAGGACTTTTCTTGGGCAAAGATGCTGCTGCCGCATCATCCACAGATTTCTTTGCCTCTTGCACAGGTACTTTAGCACGGGTAGATGCCCGAATAATATCAAACAGTCCATCCTCGGTGAGAAAAGCAGTACTACAGAATACAATTAAAATTTAGATAATAAATAAAGGAAGCAGAAGTAATATGAAATTGCATCTAGTTCGGTCCAAGATAACAAACCCAAGTTCTTTGGCTTTAGAGGATTTCCTTCCCTCAATATCTTCATCACATAAAAGATAGTTCTGCAAACAGACTATGTTAATCACATGCCAACAGTGGTATCAAAATACAAGAAAGTACAAGATAGAAACATGAAGTAACCGTTTTCTTGCTGACAGATCCAGTAATACGACCGCCATGACGTTTTATCAAATCCTCTGCTTCCTCTCTTTCCAAACTGTAAGTATGGTAAAATTTTAAACTTCAATCTTATGCTGAAAGATAAATATTATTAAACTCTACCAATAAAGCAAGGAAAGAAGACAAAATCAAATTAATTAATGCAACCAGACAAACATCATAATTGAAACAATAATATCAACACAATCCTGACAAGTACATGAAGCCGTTATATGTAATAGCTTCCTAGAAAAATGTTGCTGATTGCCAAGAACGTATGTGCAAGGGATTTTAAATCTACAACCAAATGTACAAACAAGCTTGTGAAAGTCAAACAAACAAATACCTGTCAAGTGTACCACTAATTACAAAAGTTAAACCAGCTAAACAGTCTGGAGCACCTTCAGGAACTTCCTGAGACACGCAAACAGGGACTAATGGTTAACATCAAGAATAATACGATCATTTCAACAATCAATTCCAGGCATTCCAAAGCACTAAACCTTTTCTCCTTTGTGTGGAGGATCTTTTCTATCTCCGAAATTCATAAATCCACCTCGTCCAGCACCCCTGCCTCTTCCACCAGCTGGTCCTGCGGAAGTACCTCTTCCACCACGACCCCTACCACCAGGCTTGCAATGAGATTCAGCATCCTTGACGTCATCATCACCACCTTCATCAATAGCCGTAAGTTTCTGTGCGACTCCCATGCCAGATGCACTCTTCAATTTCTTTCTAGGAGTTGCATCAACTGAGTTCTTCTTCAAATGAGGTAAGACAAAATCATCGTCGTCATCGACAACTTTGTGAACTTTTTTTGCAGGTGAGGGTTTCACGGATTCATCAGGCTCCTTGTGAGTCTTTCTTTTGGCTGGAACTTCAGTTTCTTTTTCATCTTTTGGCTTATCTGTGGTAAAATACTTGCTAGTTTTCCTCCTGCCTGAATTCTCTTGACCTCCATGCACCTGGTTTATCACAGATAATAGCACATGAGAAAACAAACGGGAAAGTTTGTTATGACAAATAAAGTTTCGAAATTCCCATGCTCCTGTGCGGACTAGCCAACTTGGGAGGGGGTGGTGTTCTTTCTGTGGAATTTACTTTTTGGTTTGAGATTCTGATTAGACTTTCATAGTTTCCTTGATTACTACAAGAACAAAATACATAACATGATTAAGAAAACAAGCCTCCTTATCTTATCATTATATTCAGTACAATGTTTGTATATCAATTCTGTTAAAACCACGCAGTGGAAAAATCATTCTAATTTTTTGTTTTAAAAAAGAACATACAGTGTTTACAAATCACATTGTTGTTTACAAGCAAATAACACAAATTAATGTCTCTAAAACCATTTAAACCCAATCAGACCTGCATCAAGTAGCTGTTAGTTTATCCAAACCATAGATGCTAAAAACGATATGTCTGACTTTTACAGACACAACCAAGCAAATGCAACAAAATCTTCATTTGTCATCAAACCAAACCGAAAACTCACTGGTTCTTTAGGCTCTTCCTTGGCTGTAGAAGGAGTCTGAGAAGTAGTCGGCGCAGGTTTCTTGCCATTGCCCTTGTCATGCGACTTCATAAACCACTTCCTAATATCTGCCTGTGACTTTATTCATCCAAAAAACAAACAAACAAACAAACCCAAAACCCCAACTTCAAGATTTCATCATCAACTTATATAGGGTACGAAGAATCAAACAATTAAAACTTAAAACCCTAGAAAATATATCTTTTCCCGCAATTTCCCAAGAACAAAGAGCATTGTTTTCGGAAACTATAAAGTGTCTGAAGTTTGGCTTACCATGTCTGAAGATTAGCTTAAGCTACAATGCGGCAGCAAAACCTCTCTGCCTCCAATTTTACGCAACCTATAAAGTGCAAGAGCCGATGAATAACATGTTAGAAATATTATTACTATCACTGACTCATAGTTTCGACATGCATGTATATATAAAACCATTCTAGAAATCAAACCCACACGAAAAATTCAACCAAGAAGAAGACTTTACCTTGTTTCAAGAGAGATGATGATCCGGGTCTGGGCGTTTGGGTTTTTGACGGTATTTGGGTTTTGGGATCGAATGAGAGAGCTGAGAGAGTGGGTTTAGCAGAGGTAGATTTGGGTTGGGGTGTTTGGGCGGAGATAGAGAGAGAAAATGAATGAGAGAGCCAGAGAGAGAGAGAGGAGGAGGAGGTAAGGGTGGGGTCGGCTGAGGCTGGTGAATTTGACGGTAACGGTTAGGGTCTCAGTGGAGGTGGTGGGTGGCACAGAGGGGAGTGAGAGAGGAGGATGCGGGGTTTACTTTCCTTTTTCTTTTATTAAATTTTGTGTTTTCATTTATGTTTACTGGTGTATTCAATCGACACTTTGCCCGACCCAAAAACAAATGGACACTGTAAAAGTTGAACACCATGGTATACTCAAGATTAGGGGTGGGCATCAATCCGGCCGATCTGGCCAAACCGGCCGAACCAATCCGTATTTTCCAGTTTGGTTTGGTTTTGACTTTAAAAAAGTCAACAGTTTTAAAATCTGAACTGAACCGGAGTGGTTTAGTTCAGCTGCAGTTTTAACATTTGAAAAACTGTGTTAATCCGAACCGAACCGTTTAAAAATTAATTAATTAATTAATTATATTCATATATATTACTTTACATGTGTCAATGGTTGAGTGGTTAATTAGAAGTGTAGTCTACACCCAGCCACACTGAATTGGACTCCAAACCACCTATTTTCGGACTCAAACCTCATCTCAGAGGCTCCTTTTCTTTGAACAAGCAGCCTCACTCAACCCACTTCAACCCTAGAGAAGCCACCATTACTTTGAACCACCACAGCCATCGTCATCATCACACAACCATCATCATCGTCGCACAGCCATCATCATCGCCGCACAGCTGATTGATGTTCAAGAACCCGAAGAAGTGTATGTTCTAATATTTTATTTCTGCTTTTCAACACATTTTTCTTTTGATAATGTTCTGATTTCAAATTCTTGGAATGAACTTTTAGTAGTAGGTTTATAATATATATATATATATATATGATAATATATATATATTGTTGAAAGTTAGCATAAAAGAAATCAAGAATGAAAAGAGTTGTGGTCCAGTATGTGGGTTATGTAAAGCTGTTGGAATCATCATTATAGAAGACATTCATAATGTTTGGAATCTGACCCCTTTTTATATGAGTTGTGGTGGGTTTCTTTTTATATGAGTTGTGATCTTAATTTTTTTTAATATCAGATTTGTCCCACTGAATAATTCTTTTCTATTTGGTGTCGTGGGTTTCTTTGCCAAATATCAGATTTGCTTGCCAAATATAAGATTTTCTCTCTTTTAAATTCTCCAGCTTCAACCTCCGCTCCTATCAGTGCCAATGATGGATGAAGCTAACTCAATACCAACGAGGGATGAAGCTAACTCACACTCAATACCAATGATGGTGAGTTCTTCTAATTTATTTAATGTTCATGATGTGGTGCAATTTATTTAATATGATGATAGGGTTTAATTTGTCTGATTAATGTGCAATTTTTCTGATTAATGTGCAATTTATTTAATGTGCAATTTGTTTGATTATATAGATGGAGGTAAACCAGGGGGTGGAAGAAGGTTTTGCTTCTAATCAGCCACCACCTATGACTGAATCTACACCAGCGGTTGTGACCTCTCAAGAGCAGACTAGTGCAGCTGATCAACTTCCACCGTTACCTTCCCAAAAAAAGAGAAAACCGATTAGGAAACCAAGTGAGGTATGGAATCACTTTGAACAATATCAAACTGGTAATACTTCTGAACCTATTAGGGTTAGATGCAAGTATTGCAAAACTGCTGACTATAAATATGATCCAGCAACTTGTGGGACATCAAGTTTGAGAACTCATATTACCAATTTATGCAAAAAATACCCATATAGGGTGCCTGGTTCAAACCAAAAGGTCCTAACTTTTGCCAAGGACCAAGAGGGAATATTCCACCAGTTGAGGAGGATTGGGCAAATGCTGTTGTCTTTGTCAAGTTTTTAAAAAGTTTTTATGACTTTACTTTGAGATGTAGTGCCACTTTGCATGCCACAGCCCATACTACTTTTCATGACTTATTTGCCATTGATTGTGAATTGGCTGAATTGAGTGTAGTAGGCAATCCTCTTCTATCTGATATGGCTCAAAATATGAAACTGAAATATGACAAGTATTGGGGATCACTTGATAGTGTGAACCAATTCTTGTTGATAGCTGTTGTGATTGATCCTAGGTATAAATTGGACAATTTATCAATGCATATTGCTGATTTGTATGTGGAAAATGATGCTTATGTGGCCGAGAAGACAGCTGGTGTGAGAGATCTTTTGTTTAAACTTTATGGGTTGTACGAAGCAGGTTTCGTTAGTAAACCGAATCAAAGTTTTAGTAGTTCTACTACATCCTCAAGTATTGGCAGCGTCATAGTGACTGATAGTTCTAGCTCCTCAAGCTTTGGAGGTGATAGGAAAAAGGCTATGAAGGAAAAGTGGAAAAAGAGACAAGAAGATAAAGAGGCAGTGGTTTTATCTCATGAGATAGATAGATATTTGTCGGATGCTGCAGAACAAGATATTGAACAGTTTGATATTTTAAATTGGTGGAGGGTAAATGCTTCTAAATATCCAGTTTTAGCGGCCATTGCAAGAGATGTGCTTGCAATTCCAGTCTCTACGGTTGCTTCAGAATCTACTTTTAGCACGGGAGGGAGAACAATTAACTCATTTCGTAGTTCCTTGAGTCCTACTATGGTTGAGGCTTTAATTTGTACACAAAATTGGTTGAAGTCCACTTCAATTTCTTTAAAAGTTGAGCCCACCATTGAGGAGATGGAGTTTTATGAAACCATTGAGTCAGGTATATCTATTTGTCTCAATTCATTGCTTATAATGTGTGAGTTTTATTGTGTTGAAGCTAAATATATCATTATGTATATTTCTTATATAGAAATGCGGAGATCAAATGCTAATGCGCCTGTGCACGTTTTCACTGATTGATTCTCTATTGATGCACAACCTTGCAGTTATGGTAATTTTCTTATTCATTTCTTATTTGGTTAATCTTGTATCCTAAAATTTGTGTTGATTGAAACTCTTTTATGTGCAGTATGGGGAACATGCTGGAAAACTGGAAACTGGAAACTGGAAATTGATGCTGAAAACTTGAAACTGGGCAGCCTTTCATTATGAACTAATTTTGGGCAGCTTTTCATTTCTTAGTTTTATCATGTATTCATTTCTTATGAACTTTAGAATGTTTGTTTTGATGAAAATTGTGAACTTAGATGCATGCTAGAAATTGGACAGCTTTTGATTAATGGAATATTGTTGTGTTAGTCTTTGATGGAATGGAATGATATAATGGCAAAATGTTAGCATTATAATGTAAGAGCAGGTTGAAAAATGCATGGTTTTGTGTTAGGCACAAACCGGCCGAACCAATCCGAACCAAACCGATTACAAGTGGTTTGGATTGGTTCGGTTTTCATTATGGTTTTAGGCTAATCCGAACCAAACCGGACCGTTATTTTCTTATTGGTTCAGCTGTGGTTTGAGAGTAAAACCGAACCAATCCGGACCGTGCCCACGCCTACTCAAGATAGGGGTGTAGTCAATTAGATTAAAAAAAAAAAAATCTATAGAATAAACCCTGGACTTTGGGATAGACTTCTATAACATATTTTCATGAAAATAAATTTATTACAGGCTTTGATAGGTTTTTTTTATAGATTTGTATTGATTTCTTCAACATAATTTTTACTTTTATGCGGAAAGGAAAATTACAAAGCAAAATTTCTTGGACACGAAGGCCCAGGAAATCAAAAAAGAAAGCAAGAGTAGGAAGTAACGGCAACCCAACTTCCCACAGGAACGAAGGAGATAGCTTATGGCCAAGGTTGGCAAGAGCATCTGCCACGAAATTGGCTTCATGAAACACATGCGCAAACTTGATGGAATTGCATAAGGAGCTTAAGTGCAACATATCATAATAGCTTTGGAGAGTTGGCAAGGACCCTGGATAGAATTTGTTGCAGGCAACATGTCAAGCCAAGTAAGAAGATCAGTGCTAATAGGAGTTTTTAGCAAATTATCATTGACACAGCTCCAAATATTATTAGCAAAGGAGCAAGTAAGAAACAAATAATTGATAGTTTTAGGAGCATTATTACAAAGAGGGCAATCCGGGTTAATGTGAGGCATAAGTCTATTTAGATTACTTCTAACATTAAGTCTCTTTCTCAAAAGGAGCCAAGCAAAAAACTTAACTTTAGGGGGGAATATATAACTTCCACATTTTCTTAAGAATATGGTTCTGCGAATGAGTTCTGAATCTTGAACCTGTAAATTATAAGCACTTTTAATGATAAATACACCAGAGGGACTAGGCCCCAAATTATCTAATCATCAATATTGGAAATAGGAAGAGACACTGTTAGAATCTCATCCACTAAGTCCAAATCTAGAACTTGGAGGAGTTTTGTTTTGTCCCATCTCTGATTAACAATAAAATCATAAACATTTTGGGTTAAGTCTATTCTTGACTATTGATGATGTGGGATTATATCAATAATGGGGACGGGCAAGACCCAGTTAGTGAAGGGAAAATTAGGTATAGGAATTGCTAAAATCCCATGAAACTATAAAAGAACAAATCATTTAGCCTATGCATATCAAATATGAAATCAAATAAAGCAGAAGCAAGAAAATAGCTAGAGATTCATGCAAGTCTAAACTTAGGTCCCAATTTTTATAGGTTTTTGAAAGTTTGCACATTTGACACTAATATCACATATTAAAGAGAAGGTGGGAAGTGAGCTTATCCTTGGAGCAAATCTTGAATCCAAATATGGTATTCAAGTAGAGGGAATGATCCCTTAGTTGTTGATTCTCCACTTTGTTATCCAAATAGGCACAATGAGGTTATGACTCCCCAAAATATCTTCACCAAGGTAGAATGAGAATAGGAGAATAGAAACCAAGAGGAGAAAATGGATGTTAGCCTTTTATTACTCAATAGTGGCTGGCCAAGGGAGACTAGGAAGGAGGCTTGATGTCTTCATGTCTTCCTAAATGCATAGTTGAAACCCTAAGGAGGTTTGATGCTATGGATATGAATATATAGAGACATTTTTGTCACACATGTGTCCCCAAAAACCCCCATACGCCGCACCCTCCCTCTTCTTGGCCTTTATGGGCTACTTAGGTCCACCACATTAATTCCTTAATGTGTCACACTTTACTTAAGTCCATAAGGTCCATTCTTATAAATATTTAAGTCATATAGGAATAAAACTAAAGTTCTATAACTTTAATTAATTCATTTAAGCTAATCTATTTACTTTAATTGATTTATTGACTTAACTAATTAAATCACTAACTTGTCTAACAAGCATTGGTCCTAGTCAACCTTGTGTTGACCCCGTCAAGTCTCGGGTCAACAGCACCTTTAGGTTTAGGGTTTAGACTTTGACCTTGACCAAGCCGCTAAATCATTTATTCTCTTTTCAATTCTCGATCCATACCTTTTCGGTGTGCGATCTTATAGGTTCTAATTAGCGAGGCTGCGGGTAAGAATGATTACTTCTAAACTGAATGTGAATTGTATCCTTCTATATAATTCTCCTAATTGGCGAATGCTAATTGTAATTAGTCCTTACACGGCTTCCACAAACCATAAGTGACACCTAGCAGTATGTCATGGCTTCGCAAGCTAAATAGAATTCATTTTGAGAACCTAGTCAGTTTGTAATTACAATGCAATTTGATCCTTCTCTATTACAATACTCTATGTCGTGTTGTTTGCATATGGTTAATTTCTGTCAAATACTTAACATGATGTCGCTAGGTTATATGATTCACATGGATGCAATTGCAAACATTCTTATTTCAATTCTCATCATGTACTTTGGCCAAAGATTCAACAAATCATATCTTTAAAGTATTCTCTCTTCCTACTAAAAGTAGAGATTCCTTGTTGTACATTCACATGCCTCTATGCATATGATGAGTATCATACACAAGACAACTATGATGTCTCAGGTCTAAGGACTAATTTGTATTATCACAACTTAGAATTCTTTGTTTGACACTTGTAAGTAAGACTTCCATACAAGAATTCTTGAGTTGATCGCTTTCAGTGAATTTCATCTCTATAAAGCACCTACACACTTATCTTAGTGTCTGTACATGTATGACTTGAGACTAGTTTAAAGTTCAAGATGATCAAGATGATCTTGAACCAGCCACGTATTTGTAAAAAAGAATTAAATTTAAGTTTTCATAAACTTAGCTAGCAGAAAAATTCATAAAAACAAGGGGGCAATGTTTGGGCCTGGTTGAAATTTGACCATGTCAGGCCTGAGATCCTACAATTAAACTAATAGTGAGCCCAAGATATATTTCAATGGGTCTAATCAATAAGGTCGGATAGAAGCCAAAAATCATAAATGTGACAGAATATCTACATGTGGTGGAATACATCAATCTAGTCAAACACATCAATATGGCAAAGAGCACAAAAGTGGTCAAGAGCCTATATGCGGCCGAAAGTGTAGATACAATCGAATGACTAAAAGCGGCCGAATACATAAAATCAGCCAAGGCTTAATTAAAAAGAGAGATAATCCGTATGAGAATTTTCTCATATGTTACAATTCAAATATAGAAGGAATTATGTCAACTTGATGGTTAACCGAAATTATTGTGGGAGAGCTCAAGATGGAAGGAAAATCAAATCAAATATTATTATTCGCATTAAATCACATGCATGAGACAAGGGATTGAAGACATTTTGGAGCAATTATGATTGATTTGAAGGCCAATTGACAACCGACCAAATTGAGACGCACCAAAGCCCTATAAATATCAAGCTTATGGAAGAGACAAAGGACCCCTGACACAACACACAACTTGTCATTTTACATTCTCTTCAATTTCTATCCTAAGAGTAGCATAATGTAGCCACAACCTAATTCTTATTTTTTCCGCTCTAGTTTCTGTAGATTT